ACACCACCAGAGCTCCTTAACTCTTCAGAAAAAAAAAAAAAAAAGAGAGAAAAGAAAAAGAAAAAAAACCCCAAACTCACTGTCGTCCAGTCTATTCAACTCATAGCGATCTCTCCTTGGGTTTCTGAGGCAGTATCCCTACAGAAACAGATTGCCCAGTCTTCCTTCTGAGGAGTGGTTAGAGGGTTTGAACTGCCAGCCTTCTGGTTAGCCTTAGGCACTATGCCACCAGAGCTCTGTATACAAAAAAGCTTTAAATTTAAGGAATTTTAAAGAACTGGGACCTTGGTCTCTTGAAGAGTCATTGAGATATTAACATGACAGTTCTGATCATGCACAGGAAACCCTCATTTAGACCAGTGCATTTTCAAGTGTAGTCTGAGTTCTGGAGGCAGCAACAGCATCACTGGGCAGCCTATTAGAATTCATGCTAATGTTTGAGAACCATTGCTTTAGATAATAACTTGTTAATTTCAAAATAGAGTATTACCTAGGCCTATGGAATGAGAATCATTGAAGGTGAGGTCTGGCAGCCTCTTTCAGCAAAGTCTCCAGATGAATCTTATGTGGGCTAAAATTTTCAAAGCACTGATTTAGGCCATTGTTTGTCAAACTGCTGATTACAACCCATTAGTGGGTTGTAAAATCAATTTAGTGGGCAGTGACCAGCATTTTTAAAAAGTGAAACAGTATAGAATAGAAAATGGAGTGCATCTCCTGTAGCATAGATGAGTACTGCCTCATGAAACTTGTTTCAGTTTTACATATATGTGTCCACGTGTATGTACTCTTTTGGATGGAAGGGGCAACTGTTAATTTTTGAAGAGCTGATGGAGTGTGATAAAGAAGCTAAAACTTTGAGACATGGTGAGAACTGCTTGGTTGACAATAAAGCATATGGACAGCTTAATGTGGATTATTGTTGGGGAGATAAAAGAGGGATGAGGAGCTAGGGAAGAGAGTGAAGGTAAGAACACAGAGGGCCAAAGTCTTATATCGCCAAAATCCTTGTGGAGAAAGAAACAAAAAGACCCCCCCAGAGAGAGGACATGGAAGGGGCACCCACAACAAGGGGGGTATCAGGGAGAATAATAACATGATGAGGTCATGCGTGATCTTCAAGAGAGAACTACTGTAGGAGGACTGGTGAAAATGAAGGAGCCCTGATGGTGCAGTGGTTAACCCCTTGGCTGCTAACTGTAAGGTTGGCGGTTTGAACTCACTAGCTGCTCCATGAAAGAAAGATGTGGCAGCCTGCTTCCATAAAGATTGACAGCCTTGGAAACCTTGTGGGGGAGTTCTACGCTGTCCTATAGTCATTACAAGTCATAATCAACTTGAAGGCAGTGGGTCTTTTGGTTTGGGGAAAATGTATGTAGTCTTTCATTCATTCACAGTTATAGCCACTGAGGGTACACACATGAGGCCTATTATGGAGCCCAGTAACAGTAATAATAATAGACTAATCAGGACTATGAAGAAGTATTATAAAAGTGCTGAGCAGAACACTGAATTCAGCTTGTGAGGATGGAGTAGGGAGTAAGGTAACAGGGATATCTGTATAGAGAAGATATTTAACCAAGAGGATGATTGCATCTCAACATGATATTTTATTTTGAAGTTAATCAGTTATTTCCTAAATCAATGGTTCTGAAACATTAGCGTGCATTAGAATCCCTTGGGGGCTTGTTAAAACACTGATTGCTAGACCCCACAGAGTTTCTGATTCAGCAGGTCTGGGATGAGGTCTCAGAATCCTTACTTCTGACAAATTGAGAAGAGTCATGCTAGATGGTGTTTCTAGAAACACGATTTAAAACAGATAGACTTTAACTGATCTACATGTACACATGCACATAGTTTTTTCCTTACTAGATTTTGATGACTTGCTAACAATAACCATCACTGACTTAATTTTTATTATAAAATATTTTACCAAGATTTTAAGATTTAACTTTGACATTTGACAAGAGAGACGACTGCTTTCGTGTTGCAGACATGCTGCATGCTTGCTAAAATTCTTTTCTTTTGGTCCCTTTGCAGCTAGGTGAGCCCATGTGACTGAGTTCTGCCAATGCATAGTAGGCAAAAAGGATGTGAACCCTTCCAGATTTGTTCAAAACTTCTTTTGAAATCTGCCTTCCTTCATTGCCAGTGTGTGTGTTGGTAGCCTCCAAGGGCCTTCAGAGCCACTTGATAAGAGTCTGGGCCCCTGAATCACCACTTGGAGAAGGGATACACAGGACTGCCACTAAGTGGGATCAGAATGCTTTTGTTGTATTAAGTCCCTGAGATTTAGTGATTTGTCAGCACTATGTAGCTTGCCCTACTCTATGTTGTGCCTGGCACTGAGTAACACAAAATTTGTTATTTATGAACTGAATGAATAATTATTAAAACTCCAATTTCTATCCCCTTAGATCCAATATTCAACCTATAAATGGCCTTTTTACCATTCATTTATTCAACTAATACTTCCATAGAAACTAACATTTGTCAAGCATTGCAATGGTGAGCAAAAACACACACTTACTTGCTGTCATGGAATTGATAGTCTGGTGAAAGATGGACATAAATCAAACTATCACTGAAACAAATGTAAAATGACAACTGCCATAATTAGTGTGAATGTTGGGAACCTGGACTATTCAGTACCTTGTTAGGAATAAATGTTGAAAGCTTTTAAGGTGTAATGGTACCACCTGCTTAAAAATAATTTAAAAATATTAACTGAGTCTGGATGTAATGAAGCAAATATTGTTGAGACATAAAGCTTAATTGTTAAACTTTCTATTTAATAGTCTTAACTATTGAATGGGATTTGTTCATCTACAGTGATACAAACTTTTATAAATGCATGTATAACTAGAATTAAAATTAAACTATGTAATTCATCAGTTAACTCTTCAGAGACTTGTAAAAAGTCTTTTACTGTGCTTCTCTTTCTTTTACTGTAGTGTTGGATACTTTATTATTAACTGTGAGTTCTTACCAAATCGGCAGTAAATTATTTCTGACAAAGATATGCACTTTAAAACTAGGGTTATGTACTGAAGGCCTCATTCAATAAAAGTTAAATCAGATCAAATCACTAAATACATCCTTGAATTAACATTTGTCATTCAGAGGACCTGTTAGGCCTATTAAACTTTTCTATACCAACTGATAAACATTGGGTAAGCTTGTACACATGATGGATTTTAGATTTACACTGAATAGCTTTTTCTTCTTCCATACACTCACATACATGCTTCACTGGTTTAAAAACTTGATTTCCACCACCTTTGAAAGAGCAATAAAAATACTTACATAAATTATTTACATTGCAAATATGGAACAGTATTTATTTTTGTAATTTGTACAAAAAAACACACATCACTTACTCTTATTTTCCAAATACTTAAGGCATTTTCCAAACAGGAGTGTCAGAATGGGTTTTCCACTGAATATGGGAGCTCTGGTAGTGTAGTGCCTAAGGCATTTGACTGCTAACCAGAAGGCTGGCCATTCAAACCCATCAGCCACTCCACAGAAGGAAGATCGGTCAGTCTACTTCTGTAGTGATACCACCTCAGAAACCCATGGTGGGGTCTTTATGAGACAGATCTGACTCCATGGCAGTGAGTTTTGGGTTTGGTATCCAGCCTATGTTCCCCCAAGACACTACCCCACAGCTAGGATTGGATTGACGAGCACAAACTCGATTTTTAGACACATTGTAGGATTTTGAAACTGCAGGTACCCAGGGATTTAGTACAAGCATACCAGGTAAGAAAACAGAAGTCCTAAAGGTAAAATAATTTGCTCCACTACACACAATTTGGTTTGGTCTCTGGTATCCCAGGTGTCCTGAGTTCCTGTGTAGCTTTCTCTCTATCACATTTTATCCTACAGTTGAAGGTCAGACTGGATTAGCCTAAATTCTTCCAGTCTGTTTTTTCTTCCGGATAGGGTTGTTTTGTGTGGTAGGTCTAATTCAGATCAAATTTTCTTCTGCCTTTTTGGCATTAGTATTCAGGTTTTTGTTTGTTCGTTTTTGTTTTGTCCTTTGCTTTGTTGAGCGTATGAACCTCGAGGAGGGTAACACCCATCTAAACCCAAGGACTCCAGGCACAAACCAAAAAACCCATTGCTGTGGAGTGGATTCCACTCAAAGCAACTCTGATCCGGCGGAGTAGAACTGCCCCATTGGGTTTCCAAGGTTGCAAATCTATAGAAGCAGATTGCCACACCTTTCTCCCTTGGAGTAGCTGGTGGGCTCAAATTGCCCACTTTTTAGTTAGCAGCCAGCGCTTTGCTGGATTTTGCCATTTACAGGCACTCACAACCTCAACCACCAAGTCTAAAAGAACACACCAACTCCCCCAGCGTCCGAATGACCACGTGTGGAAGGAGGAGCCGTCTTCAGGTTGGCGTCCAGGGGCGGGGCGGGGCCAGAGATCTGTCCATCACCGAGTCCGCGGGTGGCAGCACCTACCACACCGCTGTACCTTGGCTAGGCGGAGCCGGGGCGGGAAGACCGCGGCCGGGGAAGGCGGGGACAGGTCGGCCAGAGCCAATCTGCGGGGCTGCGCGAGGAGGCGTGGGCGGGGTCACCGCACGCAACCCAAACACACGGGCCCGGACGCACCGGTAGCGCTGCTTCTCCTCGCCTTCCGGTGCGAGAACCGGGGAACCTCTTCTGGGCACCCCCACCTTTGTGGCCCAGACGCCCCCGCTCCGGCCCCGCCTTCCCGGGGAAGGCGGCCTAGCCCGCGCGGCGCGTTACGGGAGCGAGGCGACGGTTGCCGGGAAGCGCGCGCCGCCCCTCCCTCTCGTCCTCCTCTCACGCGCCACCCGTTTTTCCTCTTTCTCGGTTAATAACAGCTGGCCGGGGGAGGAGGGAAGGTGGCCCCGGCGGAGTCTGGGCGGGCGCCTCCCACTCACTCGCGAGCCGCAGTGGGAGCAGGAGGATGGCGGCGGTAGCAGCGGCCGCCCGGGAGGAGGCGGTGCCGAGGCTCGGGGCACAGACCGCAGCGAAGGGAGCAGTGAGCGGCAGCAGCCCGTCGTGGCGCACCAGAACCGAAACCAGTGGCAGCCGCACAGCCACCTGAACCGCCCCCTCCTGCCGAAGTCAGAGAGCATCGGCCACCGCTCCCGGAGCCTGTACTCCTTCCTTTCTGCCGCTCCTCATCTTCCGTGCCCCCCTTGTCAGGCCTCTGGACTCTCCCGCCGTCCCCAAGAAGAGGGCGCCGGACGTCGACCGCCCCTCGGGGCACCAGGCGGCGGCCCTGGACGTACAGGGGCCTCTCTGGGCCGGCCGCGGCGCCTCGGCCCTGATCTCTCCCTCCTGCGCTCGCTCCCGCCCTCTCAGCGCTCCGGGGGCTGCGCGCGGGCCCGGCCCGGGGCAGGGCGGACATGGGCGCCAAGCAGAGCAGTCCGGCCGCTGCTAACGGCCGCACTCGGGCGTACTCGGGCTCAGATTTACCTTCCAGCAGTAGCGGAGGGGCCAATGGGACCGCGGGCAGCAGCGGCGGGGCTCGGGCCGCGGCCGCGGCGAGATTTCCGGCTCAGGTGTCAGGCTCGCAGCAGCCCAGCGCTTCGGGCGGCGCCGCGGCGGCCTCGGCGGCCCCGCGCAGCCGCTCCCTAGGCGGCGCAGTGGGGACCGTGGCGTCGGGGGCCCGCGCCGCGCAGTCCTCTTTCAGCATCCCCAACAGCAGCAGCGGCCCGTACGGTTCGCAGGACTCGGTGCACAGCAGCCCAGAGGACAGCGGCGTCAGCAGGGACCGGCCGGCGGGCGGGGGCCCCGGCGGGCCGCGCCTGGTGATCGGCTCCTTACCAGCTCACCTCTCGCCGCACATGTTTGGAGGTACGGCCCCCACCCCGCGTGCCCGTCCTCCCCAGTTCCCTCTGGCCGCACGTGGACCGCGGCCGCCAGTTATTTTTACCCTTCTCCTTTTCTCCTTCAGCAAGAGCGTCCAGGCTTTGCCGTCCGAGCCGGGTCCACGCTCGGTCACTCCCCACCTCCTGGGAAGAAAGTCCCCACTTAACTCTCTGCGGCGCCACGGCTGCAGAGACTTCTTAAAGGGAGACAAACTACTCCTGTGCCCCCTCAACTTTGTAGCGGTTCCCCATTAGGGAAAGGCCCCCCCCCCATCCGGGGAATGGAGTTTCAAAACAGATGAAGCAGCTTTGTTGTTGTGGCTTCCTGCGTAAGGAAGACAGGCGAAGACCAGTTGTTTAAATGTATCTAGGGCTCAGGTGATGAGCAAGTTTTTAAAAGACCGGAAGGCAGAGTCTCAAATGAGCGTTTGAGTATTTGAAAACCGAGAGGAGTATCTTCTTTAGGATAAAGGAGCCCTGGTGGTACAGTGGTTAAGTGCTTGGCTTCTAACCGAAAGCCACCGGTTCGAACCCATCAGCCGCTCCGCGGGAGAACGATGGGGGCTATCTGCTTCCGTAAAGAATACAGCCTTTGGAAACCCCGTGAGGCAGTTCTGCTCTGTCCTATGGGATCGTTATGGATTTTTTTTTTTTTTTTTCCTCTCCTCTGGACTGACTTTTAATGGCTGTAGACCTTAAGTTCGTCTAAATAGCCCTACGTTCCACCTTAACTAGATGATCTGTTAATTAAGTGTATTTTTTAGCCCCGGGTAAACTGCCGTTTGAAGTAAAACTCACGCGAGTCCTACTCAACTTGGACAAAGCACTTAAAAATTGTGAACAGTTTCTTAAGGAGAGAAACTAAAAAATCATTACAACCCTGCCTACAAGGTGCAGTAATAGTTTAAGGTGCCTTTGAAAGAATCACGTTACCTCTAGAGTTAAGGAAAAGCGACTTTTGAAAAATGGAAATTATTGCTAGTAAAGCGATGCACTTTTATGTAGATACAGGAAGAAGGGTGTACTTGGCCTGAGGTAAAAGACTTGACCTGTTTGTGTTTTATGGTGATCCACTTTGCCTCAAAACGATTATGGTAGATGAATCAAGACACTCTCCTGCCCCCCAACTTCATTGAAAAGAAACAAATTAAATCTGGGGAAGAGATGCTGACTGTTTATAAAGTTGTGACTTTTGTGTAGGGAGGTATAGGGAATATTCAATAATGTAATTTACCTGTTGTGATGTTCTGTACTATCAAAACTTGTATAGCATAAATTCAGAATGGGAATGTCATGTTTAGTCTTCCCATCTTTTTAATAGTTTGCATATTCAGTATAGAACAACTCTTGACTTTAATTACCTGCCTTTAAGTACTTGTTTTAAAGTCATTTTGTTATGTGACTAAAAACAGTAACATTTCCTAACATTGTGACATATTTTAAAAATCTTTTGTTTTTAAGAAGAACAATGTTGCCCTTACTTTGACCTGATAACAACCAAGACAGTTGAAGGCGCTGTGGTCACCAAGTCAGGGAATAGAAAGAATTTCCTGAGCATAGGATATTAATGCCAGAATAAAGGATAAACTGGTTTTAAAATATAGATACCTTTTTAAGCTTAAAATTTGCATTTTGTAGTTATGATCTTCAAAAACACGGATATTTAAAAGCTAGCTCAAGAAGTTTAGCTTTGTGCATATTCTATTAAAAAGAGAAAAAGCTAATAATTTTTAATTAATATGCTGATTTATTTTTATTAAAAAAATTGTTCCTAATTACCTTTCACTAAGAGTCCGTATATCCCTAAGGATTTGTTTACATTCCATTCAGACCAGGGAACAAATAGCTGACACCTGTGCTATTAGTTCATAGTGATTTACCAAGTAAAAAAGATGTAGTTGCTAAGAGTTGGAAGGATGGAGCATTTCTGCCTTTTCTAATCTAAGTTTCTAGAGTTATGCACTTGAATACCTTAGTACTTTTGGGGTTAGGATGACTGAGGCCTAGTAGCAGGATAGTGACAATGTATGAGGAACTTCTGGCGGCCTTTCTCAGTGGGGTCTTCCAAGAAAATTGAACCCATTGTATATAATGAATTAACCTTTTTTCATTTGCATTCAGAGAGGTACCAGTTACATACCATTCTTGGGAAATATGAGAAAAAGATGGTTCAAATCATTTTCTGTGTTCTGTATCTCAGATGAACAACCCCTGTTGAGAAAGGCTGGGAGGAGATCAGAGAAATTACTTGTTCCTGTTATATGATAGCATCCGATCATTGTGCCAGTACCTTAAATCCTTATTGAGACATGGAGATATGTCTTATTTATGTATAAGATAGGTCTTATATATATGTATATATATTTATAAGTATATGTGTAAGATACATACACTTACGTAAAAACCCATCTTTCTAGTGGCATTTGCCTTAATGAGGCTTTTACTTATATTTTGGCAGATGAGTCATCAAGTAAATTTAATAGAAGCATAATTGCTGCTTGTATTATTGTTTCCTAATTGGAAAATTTGGTATAAGGTTCAAAATTATCATTCTCATATGGGCTGATATATAAAAAAGGAAAACCTAAACAATGTCATTTTTTTTTTAAGACTCTATCAAGTCAGATTTTTTACTAGTTTCATCTTAATAACTGCCAGATTGAATGAGGAGGTTACCTGTGTTGAGCTTTGTGTTTTGCACATTTACCTGCGCTGTGTATGCTCTCATTCCGTTCTCTACAGAGAACTAGAAGAGAGGTGCTTAATTCAGATATTTCTGTTTACAGAATTTTGTAAAATTGAGTTGTTAGACCTCAGAATAAAGGTTGTGGAATGTCCTTGATTATAATCCATGTTGGCATTTTTAGGTGAAGTAGATCTTGTTTTTGTTATTCTTTACAGGCTACTGAGCTAATACTGGTCATCACCTTTGTTATAAAACAAGTTTTTAAGGGTATAATCTAATATTTAAAGCCTTGGTAATGCATAGGAATATGGAAATACTTTAGAATTTGTCTACTTTTTTTTCCCCACTGCTGAGTTGCTGATATTCATAAAAGCAATTAAAATGAGTGGCAAAATAGCTTTTACTGATGTATCAGGAGTGAAGGAGGTGAAATGGACTACAAAAACACACAAATAAATGAAAATTATTTCTAAAGAAATCATTGTGGACTTGTAATGCATCCATGAGCTGGAAATGAAAGTGTAAAATGAATTACAGTAATGTGGACAATTAACCAGTAATAATTCGATTGCTTTTGGCTGCCTCCTAACTGGCTTGAGTTTGTTTTGGTGTGGTATGCCCATGCTCTGTTTCAGTAATGTGATTGTAATTTAGGTGCCTCCTGTTACTTATGAAACATGCTTCCTTACATGAAGGAGGATGGGTTTTCCCTTAAAGTTGAATATGTTAAATAAATGCTGTATGTCTGGATAGATTTATCGTAATGTTTAAGGTGACATGGGTATTTATGTTGGTTAGATTATTCTCATTAATTAACCATTATTGAGTTGTTTTTGAGTCATTACTTCTTAGAAGGCTCAAATGCCAAAACGTTTAAATTTGAGATAGTATAATAATTAGTCTCCTTCCTGTTCCCGACTGTTCTCTTATTCCATTGAAGCCTTTTATAGGGAATGTCAGAAGAGGAATGTCTGCTTCTCCCTAAGAAAAATGCTACTTTTGACCACCACTCCTGACCTCCCAAAAAAGAACTTGGGTGGTTAATGTTTCTTACTTGTAATTGCTTTAAACACTACAGGAAGATACATTATGTTGTATGCTTTGTTATGTTAACATGTGATCTCTGCCAGTGGAAGTTCATGCCACCCCCTTTTTTTTCCCAAAGTACTCTTGATTGGAAAGCGGAAGGTGGGCTGGAGGGGGAAGAGTGGTATGGATTGCAAAGCGCATTATTAGGTTTGAGAGCTGCCTGCCTGAGGATGTAGTACTTTGATGCTTTGTTGGCTGCTGCCTAGTGCCTGCAGGAAAAGAGCTCTGTTGTCTTATTAACAGATAATGTCCCCAGTAAGTCACCCCACTTCCCTGCAGTTTGATTTTCTGGTAACCAACAAATAGATGCTTATTTATTTTCTGGTTACCAGTATCATTAATTGAATACTAGCTGTTTTTCCATATCATTCATCTTGTGTTTGTAAGGAGAATTGCCTTATTACATGTACTGGGCTCTTATATTGGTAAATGTGTTAAAACAGAAGTTAGTTGGTATTAGCTGCTCTCAAGTTGGCCCCCACTCATAGGGATCCCATGCACATTAGAATACAATGCTGCCTAGTCCTGCACCATCCTCATGATTGATTGCAGATCAGAATGTTGTGGTTGCTTTGTATACCAAAGTACTTCCTAAATTTTACTTAATTATGTAAATATTCATGAAAAGTATTATTTGCTTGACCTGTTTATCTGTATTTTAATTTTGATTGTTTTTTGGCCACTATTACCTAATGAATCCCAGTTGTTCCACACTTACATATTTAGAAATTAGGGGGAACATGGTTATTTGTGGGAACAAAAGTTCTGATTGCATTAATTTTCTGTGTTGATCCATAAACAAAAACAAACAAATAAAAAAAACAGACTCATTGCCATCAAGTCAATTCCAGCTCACAGCAACCCTGCAGGACAGAGTAGAACTGCCCCATAAGGTTTCCAAGGCTGTAATCTTTACAGAGCAGACTGCCACATCTTTCTCCCTTGGAGCAGCTGGTGGGTTGGAATCGCAGACTTTTGGGTTGGCAGCTGGGCACTTTAAACACTGCACTACTATGATGCCTTTGTTGCTTCACAGATTACTAGAAATATAGCTGCTTAAAGCGATACACATTTATTATCTCTCAGTTCCTAGGAGCCAGGAATCTGAGCACAGCTTGGCTGAGTCCTCTGTAAGCCTGCAATCAAAATGTTGGCCAGGGTTGGGTTTTTATCTAGAGATTGGACTGGGAATGGTCTGCTTCCAAGCCTCC